AGCCTAAATGAATCCACCCCTCCCAGTCATATTAATACTCACATTCCTCGAGGCACAGGCCGAGGAGGTGGAGTTGCAGCTATCTTCGACTCTAGCCTACTAATCAGCTCTAAACCTAAACTAAACTATAACTCATTTGAAAGTCTTGTTCTTAGTCTTTCGCACCCAAGTTGGAAATCACTGCAACCAATTCTTTTTGTTATAGTGTACCGAGCACCTGGCCCGTACTCTGAATTCTTATCTGAATTTGCAGAGTTTTTGTCAACTTTAGTCCTTAAAACGGACAAAGTTATTATTGTAGGAGATTTTAATATTCATGTGGATGTTGAGAATGACAGCTTCAGTACTGCGTTTATCTCTTGTTAGATTCCATCGGCTTCTCTCAGAGTGTTCATGAACCGACTCACTGTTTTAACCACACCCTCGACCTTGTTTTGGTGTATGGTATTGAAATTGAACATTTAGTGGTGTTCCCACAGAATCCCTCTTTATCCGACCACTGTTTGATAACTTTTGAGTTTGTATTGCTGAACTACTCGCCATTGGGCAAAAATTTCTATACAAGATGTCTGTCTGATAGTGCCATAGCTAAATTTAAGGATGCGATTCCATCAGCTCTAAATACATTATCTAGTCACAAAGTAACGGAGGACTCCTATGCTAATTTCAGTCCCTCCCAAATCGATCATCTTGTTGATAGTGCTGCAGGCTCGCTGCGAATGACACTCGACTCTGTAGCCCCTCTAAAAAAGAAAATACTAAAACAAAGACGGTTAGCTCCATGGTATAATACTGAAACTCGCAAATTAAAGCAAATATCACGGAAACTTGAGAGGAATTGGCGTTCCACCAAAGTGGAAAATTCTCGTTTAATTTGGCAAGATAGTCTTAAAACTTATAGGAAGGCCCTCCGTAATGCCAGAGCAGCGTACTACTCGTCATTAATAGAGGAAAATAGGAACAACCCCAGGTTTCTTTTCAGCACTGTAGCCAGGCTGACAGAGAGTCACAGCTCTATTGAGCCAAGTATTCCCATAGCTCTCAGTAGTTACGATTTCATGAGCTTCTTTAATGATAAAATTCTAGCTATTAGAGACAAAATTCACCAAGACCTGCCCTCAATTGGCACCGACTTATCTCTTAACTCAGGAACCTTAGAAACAGCTGTAGAACCAGATACATGTTTAGACTGTTTTGCTTCCCTCAATCTTTACCAACTAACTTCAATAATTTCTTCATCTAAACCATCAACCTGCCTCTTAGACCCCATCCCGACTAGGCTGCTTAAAGATGTTTACCCTTAGTCAGCACTCTATACTAGATATGATCAATCTATCTTTATCAACAGGCTATGTACCACAGTACTTTAAAGTAGCTGTAATTAAACCTCTTCTGAAAAAGCCCAAACTTGATCCGGATGTTTTAGCCAACTATAGACCTATATCTAACCTTCCATTTCTCTCTAAGGTTCTGGAGAAAGCAGTTGCTAAACAGCTGTGTGACTTTCTACAGAGCAATAGTTTATTTGAGGATTTTCAGTCAGGATTTAGAGCTCATCATAGCACAGAGACAGCACTGGTGAAAATTACTAATGACCTCCTTATTGCATCAGACAAAGGACTTGTCTCTGTACTGGTTTTATTAGATCTTAGTGCTGCATTTGATACCATTGACCATCAGATCCTATTGCAGAGACTGGAATATTTCATTGGCATTAAAGGAACCGCTCTAAGCTGGTTTAAGTCCTATTTATCAGATCGATTTCAGTTTGTACATGTTAACGATGAGTCCTCCATGCACGCCAAAGTTACTCATGGAGTTCCTCAAGGATCTGTCCTTGGACCAATCCTCTTCACTTTATATATGCTTCCTTTAGGCAATATTATCAGGAAACATTCCATAAGCTTTCATTGTTATGCAGATGATACTCAGTTATATCTATCGATCAAGCCAGATGAAACTCATCAGTTAGCTAAACTTCAAATGTGCCTTCAGGATGTTAAAACCTGGATGACCTGTAATTTTCTCATGTTAAACTCAGATAAAACTGAAGTTATTGCTCTGGGGCCTAAGCACCTCCGTGACGCATTATCTAAAGATATAGTTTCCCTGGATGGCATCGCCTTGGCCTCCAGCACCACTGTGAGGAATCTTGGAGTTATCTTTGATCAGGACATGTCGTTTAAGTCTCACATTAAGCAAATTTCAAGGACCGCCTTTTTTCACCTACGTAATATTGCGAAAATCAGGAACATCCTGTCTAAAAATGATGCAGAAAAACTAGTCCATGCATTTGTTACTTCTAGGCTGGATTACTGCAATTCCTTATTATCAGGCTGCTCGAAAAAGTCCATTAAGACTCTTCAGCTGATCCAGAATGCTGCAGCACGTGTTCTGACAGGAACCAGGAAAAGAGATCACATTTCTCCTGTTTAGCTTCTTTGCATTGGCTTCCAGTAAAATCCAGAATAGAATTTAAAATCATTCTTCTTACCTACAAAGCTCTTAATGGTCAGGCACCATCTTATCTTAAAGAGCTCATAGTACCTTACTACCCCACCAGAGCACTGCGCTCCCAGAATGCAGGGTTACTTGTGGTTCCTAGAGTCTCCAAAAGTAGACTAGGAGCCAGAGCGTTCAGCTATCAAGCTCCTCTCCTGTGGAACCAGGTTCCAGTTTGGGTTCAGGAGGCAGACACCATCTCCACATTTAAGAGTAGGCTTAAGACTTTCCTCTTTGATAAAGCTTATAGTTAGGGCTGGCTCAGGTAGTCCTGAACCATCCCTTAGTTATGCTGCTATAGGCCTAGACTGCCGGGGGATTTCCCATGATGCACTGAGCTCCTCTCTCCTCTACTTTCTCTCCCTCTGTATGCAACCTTATCCCATTATTGCATGTTACTAACACAACTTCTCCCCTTTCTGGTAGTCTTGTGCTTTCTCGTCTCTCTCCTCTCTCCTATCACTTCCTGCAGGTTTTCTGGCTCTGGAGCTGTGGAGTCTGGATCTGTGGCTGCGGGTCACCTGCTGCCCCTGTGTTCCTGCTCGACACCCTCTACTGCAACGACTATTGTTGCTAGTTTATTGTTATTATTGTTATTATAATCATTAACATTACGATGGTTACCATTAACACTATTATAAATATCTGTACCATTTTTCATTTAGTCTATAGCAACATTACCTTCACTGTCTGTACCTCTGTGTATATTGTGTAGGCTGCCTCCCTCCCCTCTCTCTCTCCTTACATCTCTCTCTCTCTCTCTCTCTCTCTCTCTCTCTCTCTCTCTCTCTCTCTCTCTCTCCTTCACCCCAACCGGCCGAGGCAGATGGCCGCCCACCCTGAGCCATGGTTCTGCTCGAGGTTTCTGCCTCTTAAAAGGAAGTTTTTCCTTGCCTCTGTCGCCTAGTGCTTGCTCTTGGTGGGAACTGTTGGGCTTCTGTAAATAACATCACAGAGTACGGTCTAGACCTGCTCTTTTATGAAAAGCGCTGTGAGATAACTGTTGTTGTGATTTGGCGCTATATAAATAAAATTGAATTGAATTGAATTGAATTGAATAGGTCGGCGGTCCGGAGAGGACGGCGGCTGGGTCCGGATCCGGACCGCGGTCCGCCTATTAGTGACCTCTGCCCTAAATGGACCTTTGTGAAAACAGCCACAAGATCCAAGAAGAACAAAACTACAGGGGAGGAGGAAAAGAAGGTCAAACGCAACAACATTGTGATTCCATACGTGTCTGGAGTATCAGAGAAACTCAGGAGGATTTTCAACAAACATAACATCCCTGTGTTTTTTAAACCCAAGAACACACTAAGACAGATGCTGGTACACCCCAAAGACCGCACACCCAAACACAAGAAAAGCAATCTAGTGTATGTGGTCCAATGCAGTGAGGAATGCACAGACCTGTATATTGGGGAGACTAAACAACCACTACACAAACGCATGGCTCAACACAGAAGGGCCAACTCCTCAGCTCAAGACTCTGCAGTCTACTTACATCTGAAGGACAGAGGACACTCGTTTAAGGACCACCAGGTGCACATTATAGACAGAGAAGATGGATGGTTTGAAAGAGGTGTCAAGGAAGCCATCTACACCAGGGTTGAGAAGCCGTCATTGAACAGGGGAGGGGGTCTACGCCACCACTTATCCCCCACTTACAATGCTGTCCTTTCATCACTTCCCAGGAAACTCAACAAACGTAAACTATTGGCCTCAGGTGAAGATACCAACGATGGTCGTTCAGTCTTGGCCACAGGTAGTCTTAACGACTATAACGACTGTCGTCACAGCAACAAGAACCAGCGGTATCGATGACCCGGGCCAACGACCCCACTGAGGTTAAATAATAATAATAATCCTTATCCTTAAATAGCTGAGTTTCCCTGCCAGTCAGTCAGAACTGAAGAAGTCCTTTGGACTAGGGACAAAACGTCTTCCAGTATCTTCAACCAAGTCCAGTTGCCCTTGATTTTAACCTTCGTTGGATAACTATGACCTGGATGACTGAGAATCTTCATAGACACCCAAATGGACATTGTGCTAAATGTAATAGTTTAGAGACAATTCAACATGTGCTGTTTCAGTGTAGGGGCTATGTGAAGGCGAGGAGGAAAATAGCAGCAGTTTTAGAGAAAGCTAAGCATAGGGTCACTGTGGAGAACTTCCTTGGGGATAAAGCATGGGGAATATCTAAGCACCTCATTAAATATCCGAAGGACGGAATACGGGATTAATGGAGAGGATTTAATTTTTTGTGTTTTGTTTTTGTTAATTGGTTGTGTTTGTTTATTTGATTTCAGGTAGGTATGTTAAGTCTGTCAAGCACCTGTTTCACACTCCAGTCCGGTAGGTGACAGTAATGCTGCTATTATGTGCTAAACGCTGGTTGCCAACCACCAATCGTGTGTGTCGGCACATGCATAGCAGTTCGTCACTCTTATCTTGTCCAATCAGCAAGCTACGTGTATCACGCTGAGGGTTCACAGGTTAGGGGTTACCAAGGAGAGAGGAAGATGGCGGCAGGCAGGCTGGGCAGCAGGTAATGCCGAAACACATTTAGCAGGCAGATAATACGAGAGATACAAGCGCCTGTACTGCAAAGTCTCGCCACCGTCCTTTAAGACTGTACTTAGAAGGAAAAGGGACACTAATGGCGCTGCTCTACGGCTTGTTATGGCGGCTCTTGCTAGTTGTCGTCCACGTCAACAGAGCGCTCATCTCCTGGCTCCGTGTCCGACTTAAGAGCTGGAAGGGCCGGTTGTGGGAGCGCGCGATGGCCGCCCTGCTACTGCCTTTAGCCGTGGCTGGGCTGTCGGATCATCAGAAGAATTTAAATCATAACCCTGATGCTAACGCTAACCCGGTAAATGGAAACCGGAATGCCAGCCGCCGGTCACGGTGGCTGTCTGACGGCAGGTCTCTGGAGAAACTGCCGGTCCACATCGGCCTGTTGGTAGCGGAAGAAGAGCCCAGCTATACGGACATAGCCAACCTGGTGGTCTGGTGTATGGCTGTCGGTATATCTTATGTCAGCGTATATGATCATCACGGTAAACATTTTACACTAAGTTACTTAACTGTGGTACAGTCTGCTGTATGTGTCTGCTGGTTGTACATACTATTTCATTTGCCTTTCTATAATAATGTATCAAACTTAACACACTTGATCTTGTGCTGCAAACTACACTCTAATGTTCCCACTGAGTCATTTTATATCCAATGGGTTAAACATAAAGGTTAAGACAGTCAATGTGTCAATCATCCCCAAATGAATAAAACCGGAATGTTACATTTGTCAGGGTCTGTCCTTGTGTCTTCTTTTTGTTGGTGTTTTAAAGTAAATTCTGGCCTCTGAATATTCAAAAGTGTGCATAACTGCACTTTAATCCAGATGTGGTCAGATATACATATCCCTTTGACTGAACACTTGTTTGTCCATTGTGTTGGGGCTTCCTTTGAGTTTGGCTTGTTTTTGACTTTCATAATGTTTCATCTGACCATCATTTACACAATGTAAAGAAATGATCCATCCCTCCTCCCATGGCTTGTTTGGGTAATGTCATGTGACTAGAGATTATAGTAGTTTGCTCCACATTATGTGCATCCGTTATGCCGAGACAATGCTTTTTTCCCCTATTCTCTGAGGAAACAGAAATGCCTGTTGAAAAGGTGATATTTATTATTTGGGTTTAAATGATTTTCCTGGTTAAATGTGGAACCCAGTGTGACTTATTGCAGTGTGTATTCACTGTGGATGAACAGAACACCTGGAGGTTTATTTAGCACAATTTGCTAAACTTTTAACAACTTTAACTTGGATGGAACACATTTGGTATGCTTTTATCTCCTTCCCTTTGTAGCATTTGCTGTTTTCTCCTTCACCATCTTAGTGAAATAAATAAAAATTATTTTTTTATTCTGGATTTAACTCACCTGTTTCCCTTACTTAAGGTATCTTTCGGAAGAACAACTCCCGTCTGCTGGAGGAGATAGTAAGGCAGCAGCAGGACCTGCTGGGTGTGGACGGATCAAAATACAGTGTGGAGTTCTTGAGCACTGGTAGTGATCATCAGCACCATGGTGAGGACTTGTATTCTGCTGTTATTTCAGTCAGGGCATTTACATGCATTTCAGTATAATCGGGTTACAGTCTGCTTTCTCCAGTAAACTGATTTCTTAAATGTCAAGTAAAGGAGAGCCAGGTTTCCCCAGCTGGATTATAACAGGATCTGGGTGTTCCCACTCACACTAGACTGCAGTTCAGATTAAGTTTATTGAAACAATTAAGAGAATGTAAAGCAGTGGGGTATTATATTTCATTTCACTGAATTAATTCATTCTTTCACTTCATTAACATAACAGATATGTAAGCCATGATGGAGGCAGCGCTGACAGAGCAACGCAGTGGTTCTTGGTATATAGGGCTCCCCTAAGTAACAAATCCTGGTTGACTCCTTGTTCTGGATAGAGTTGGGATTAGTTTTTGAACTTTGCATATAGAATGTTTTTTTTCAGAAAGAAGTTTTCCCCCACAGCACCTTTAAACCAAATTATTTTGCTAGTACATATGAAATGAAAATTGTTGATTAGCTGTGTTGTTAATCCGGGCACAGCTTTACTTTCTCATCTCTCATGGTTGGTTTGCTCACTGTACACTTAAAAAGATCACACATAAGAACATGGTAATCTTGGTGGCTATTGCAGAGAGCTGCGGCCGTTTGCACAAAACACCTTGAATTAAGATTTTCCTTAAAGTCTAAATTAAGGTTTCTTCAAAAAACATTCAATTGCACAACATACCCATAAATATTATCCTTAAGCTTTCCTTAAAGTGTTTCATGTTTTCTCTGTATCTTGGTCTTATACTTAAGGAATCCCTTAAGTGTGTTATGGTGTTCACTCCAGGCGGTGCGGAAAGTGCAGAAGGTGTGTTTGTTGCGACATTCGCTGGTTCGAGTTCAAATTTTTCAACTTGAGTGAGAACTTCACATGATGTCACCGATGGCTTCAGAGCGTTGTTTGGATAGGACCAGGCAGAGCTCGGCCGAGAGCAACGCTGTAGCTTTTGGACAAATAAACAGCCGTAGTTGGTCTGGATTAAACAACTACACTGTTTACACATGGGAGGAGCTCAGAGCAAACTGCTGTTTTTTTTTTTGCTAAATTAGCTTTTTACTCAGCGGGGGTTTCCGTGCATTTCCGGTTCCACTGTTGTTATTAGCGTCAGTAGGCCGCCAGAGCTACCTGATGAGTTCAACCAGTGAGTTAACTTTATTCCAGCTATCATTGTACTTATCTATTCAATTCAATTTTATTTATATAGCGCCAAATAACAACAACAGTTATCTCACAGCGCTTTTCATAAAAGAGCAGGTCTAGACCATACTCTATGATGATATTTACAGAAGCCCAACAATTCCCACCAAGAGCAAGCACTAGGAGACAGAGACATGGAAAAACTTCCTTTTAAGAGGCAGAAACCTCGAGCAGAACCATGGCTCAGGGTGGGCGACCATCTGCCTCGACCGGTTGGGAGTGAAGGAGAGAGAGGGAGAGAGAGAGAGAGGGCAGGAGAGGAACAGAGAGAAAAAGAGAGGGATGGAAGGAGAGAGGGGAGGGAGGCAGCCTACACAATACTGAGAGGTGGTACAGACCGTAAAGGTGATGTTGCTATAGACTAAATGAAAAATGGTACAGATATGTATAGTAGTGTTAATGATAACAATCGTAATGTTAATGATTATAATAACAATAATAATAACAATAGGACTAGTAACAATAGTTGTTGTAGCAGAGGGTGTCGAGCAGGAACACAGCAGGTGACCCGCAGCCACAGATCCAGACTCCATAGCTCCAGAGCCAGAAAACCTGCAGGAAGTGATAGGAGGAGAGAGGAGAGGGACGAGAAAGCACAGGACTACCGGAAAGGGGAGAAGTTGTGTTAGTAACATGCAATAATGGGATGAGGTTGCATACAGAGGGAGAGAAAGTTGGAGAGGAGAGAGAAGCTCAGTGCATCATAGGAAATCCCCCGGCAGTCTAGGCCTATAGCTAAGGGATGGTTCAGGACTCACCTGAGCCAGCCCTAACTATAAGCTTTATCAAAGAGGAAAGTCTTAAGCCTACTCTTAAATGTGGAGATGGTGTCTGCCTCCTGAACCCAAACTGGAACCTGGTTCCACAGGAGAGGAGCTTGATAGCTGAACGCTCTGGCTCCTAGTCTACTTTTGGAGACTCTAGGAACCACAAGTAACCCTGCATTCTGGGAGCGCAGTGCTAAGGTACTATGAGCTCTTTAAGATAAGATGCCTGACCATTAAGAGCTTTGTAGGTAAGAAGAATGATTTTAAATTCTATTCTGGATTTTACTGGAAGCCAATGCAAAGAAGCTAAAACAGGAGAAATATGATCTCTTTTCCTGGTTCCTGGCAGTCCTTGAAATTTCCTTAATGTGAGACTTAAACGACATGTCCTGATCAAAGATAACTCCAAAATTCCTGACAGTTGTGCTGGAGGCCAGGGCGATGCCATCAAGGGAAACTGTATCTTTAGATAATGCGTCACGGAGGTGCTTAGGCCCCAGAACAATAACTTCAGTTTTATCTGAGTTTAACATTAGAAAATTACAGGTCATCCAGGTTTTAACATCCTGAAGGCACATTTGAAGTTTAGCTAACTGATGAGTTTCATCTCGCTTGATCGATAGATATAACTGAGGATCATCTGCATAACAATGAAAGTTTATGGAATATTTCCTGATAATATTGCCTAAAGGAAGCATATATAAAGTGAAGACGATTGGTCCGAGGACAGATCCTTGAGGAACTCCATGACTAACTTTGGCGTGCATGGAGGACTCGTTAACATGTACAAACTGAAATCGATCTGATAAATAGGACTTAAACCAGCTTAGAGCGGTTCCTTTAATGCCAATGAAATGTTCCAGTTTCTGCAGTAGAATCTGATGGTCAATGGTATCAAATGCAGCACTAAGATCTAATAAAACCAGTACAGAGACAAGTACTTTGTCTGATGCAATAAGGAGGTCATTAGTAATTTTCACCAGTGCTGTCTCTGTGCTATGATGAGCTCTAAATCCTGACTGAAAATCCTCAAATAAACTATTGCTCTGTAGAAAGTCACACAGCTGTTTAGCAACTGCTTTCTCCAGAACCTTAGAGAGATATGGAAGGTTAGATATAGGTCTATAGTTAGCTAAAATATCCGTATCAAGTTTGGGCTTTTTCAGAAGAGGTTTAATTACAGCTATTTTAAAGTACTGTGGTACATAGCCTGTTGATAAAGATAGATTGATCATATCTAGTATAGAAGTGCTGACTAAGGGTAAAACATCTTTAAGCAACCTAGTCGGGATGGGGTCTAAGAGGCAGGTTGATGGTTTAGATGAAGAAATTATTGAAGTTAGTTGGTAAAGATTGAGGGAAGCAAAACAGTCTAAACCTATATCTGGTTCTAGAGCTGTTTCTAAGGTTCCTGAGTTAAGAGATAAGTTGGTGCCAGTTAAGGGCAGGTCTTGGTGAATTTTGTTTCTAATAGTTAGAATTTTATCATTAAAGAAGCTCATGAAGTCGTAACTACTGAGAGCTATGGGAATACTTGGCTCAATAGAGCTGTGACTCTCTGTCAGCCTGGCTACAGTGCTGAAAAGAAACCTGGGGTTGTTCCTATTTTCCTTTATTAATGACGAGTAGTACGCTACTATGGCATCCGATCCGAACTCCATTCAGAAAACAAACATTTAAAAAGTTGTTGTTCTGCTGACTTGCTGACAGAGCTGACAAAGCATGAATTCATGTATTAAAAAAATCTGCATCATACTGTAGTTATTTCTGCATCAGTTTGATCCGTTTATTACAATTGAATCACAGCAAAATATTTACTTTGGGTTCATACAGCTGTAGTAATTGCGGGTTGTGTTTATTCGCGTTATCACATTGTGTGTGTGTGTGAACACTTGGCAATTGTCCAGTGATAAAACCCCAGCAAGGAAAGCCTTGAGAGGATTAAATTTGTGTTTTATGTGGACACACCTTTTAAACCTTTGCACAAAAGACCTTAGCAACAAAACTAAGGGAAAAAATTTAAGGTACCTCTGGCTTTATCTTAACCGCTACATGGCTGAGTTTATGGCGAAAAATAAAGGAATGGAACATATCCTGAGAAGAGTGTTTCATGACCGGGAGAATATAATGGATATGCTAAATAATGAGCAATTGCTTTTACATTATACATTTGACCTGCAGTGTATTCATGACTTGTCCGACCTGTCCTTGAGTTGGATCACTGTACTTTCCTCACATGTGCTTTTATAAGTGTATATATAAGTATTATAAGTATAATTAAAGCTGCAAGCAGCGTTGGGCGGGCTCTCGCTCTTGTAGCGCGTCCGCGTGTGAGCCGGCCGAGTTGCATATTCTGGAGCTCTGCCGGTGCAGCTGTGAATTTCCTATGCGGTTCCGACGCCGCATGAAGGTGGTATATGTTACTTCCGGTGTCCCCTATGTGGAGCTACATAGCACTTGCCGCTATGAATATAAATCGGTATTGGTGTGTAGATGTCTGCGGGGTGGGAGAGTTATCAAGCACGTAAAGTTTGTTTCAGATGTGAGCATGTACACGTAAGTTACAACAACTTCCTGTGTCATGGCGAAGACTTGATCTCTGACGCCACGCCACGGACACACCCATTGACGAAAACTCGCAAATAGCACAACTTTTCATCTTCAGTGCCTTTAGAAGGCACAGCACAAATTTGAGGTCGGTCGGACTAAATCCCTAGGAGGAGTTCGTTAAAGTACGAAGTGTGTAAATTATCCGATTATGGCCGACTTCCTGTTGGGTTTAGGCTATGGGTTCTTGAGGCTTTTTTGTGCGTCTTGATATGATACATGTCCCCAGAAAATTTCGTACATGTAGGTTGAACGTGAACGAGGGGCTAATCTTTTCCAATTTTCTAGGTGGCGCTAGCGAGTCATTTTGCCACGCCCATGTGCTAAACTTGTAGAATACGAAATTTTTCACCGGTTCTGACATGTTTGCAAATTTTGGTGAGTTTTCGAGTATAGTTAGGCCATGTCATTTGAGCCTACTTTGCAGGAAAAAAAACAGAGCCTTTCCAGTCTGTAATAGGCGAGGTACACTACTACTATATTCAGTTCAGTTTATAACAACATTTATCTCATTGCACTTTTCATATAGAGCAGGTCTAGACAATATTCTTTATTTTTGACATATATGATGAGTGATTGTTAGATAGATAGAACTTTATTGTTCCCCGAGGAGAAATTGCGGTGTTGCAGCAGCAAAATTAAGACAGATTACAAAAATTTACAGAGCAGACATATTCACACAAACTAACATATAATGTGCAAAATTTACTTAAAAATATATTTACAACGTATATTTACAAAAATGAGATTTATACACAAGTGCAACTGTGCGCATATTAAAGATACATCACTTGTATTAACTGTAGTGTAATGTCCTTAACATTCATGTGTCCTTCAGTCTCCTCTCCCTGCACAGAGGAGATTTGTTGTGTATTCTGATGGCAGTGGGTAGGAAGGACTTTCTGTAACGGTCCTTGCTACAGGTTGTGCAGCGGATGTGAAGTGTTGGCCATGATGTTAAACAATTTGTGTAACATTCTTCTCTCCACAACCAACTCCAGGGGCCCCAGAGCAGACCCCAGCCAGCCTTCTTTATTAGCTTGTTCAGTCTCTTGCTGTCACTGGCTCTGATGCTGTTGCCCCAGCAGATGGCTGCAAAGAAAATTGGGCTTTTGACAACAGACTGATGGAACATATACAGCAAACTTCTGCAGACATTAAAGGACCTAAGCTTCCTCAAGAAGTAGAGTCTGCTCTGGCCCTCTGGTTTGAAGATGGCCTCAGTGTTGTATTTCCAGTTCAGTCTGATGTCAAGGTGTACACACAGATATATATAAGTTCTCAGCCACCTCCACCTCCTCTCCCAGAAGATGAATGGTGTTCAGTGTTGTTGTCCTGGTCCTCTTAAAGTCCAACACCATCTTCTTCGTCTTTGTCACGTTTAGGAGGTGGAGGTTGTTCATTTGAGTACGTCTGTAGATGACAGAAATCTGAGTTGTGCTGGAAGTCCGAGGTGTAAAGCGTGAAGAGAAATACAGAGAAGAGAAGTACTGTCCCCTGTGGCACTCCTTTTGCTGCTGACCACCTGTTCAGACACACCACCCTGTTATAATGAATGCACAAACATTAGTCCAAATCAGACCTTAACCACAATGGTTACACACGTGGGAAACACATGCCATGTGAATTGGAAGTACTGGCATTTATTTTTCATGTTGTCTAATCAATCCAAAGTCGAACAGTTTTGAACAAATTTGATTGACCTGAAGCTCTAACACAATAACCCAGTTTCTGTGAAAAACTTTGTGCAAACTTCCAATTCCAGGCTTCTTCCTGCTCATTATTCGATATGCATGAGTACTTTTGCTTGAAAGGGTTTATTCAGTCAATGTATGAACTGCTGACTGCTTTTTCATCTGTCTTTTCTGAGACAGCACATGTAACGATTGCTCCAGTTCAGTCTAGCCTAAATGACTGCGTACTATGTTCATCTTATTTAGCTATGTCAAAGGCCCATCCATCCATCCATCCATCCATCGTCAACCACTTATCCTGCATACAGGGTCGCGGGGGCTGGAGCCAATCCCATCGGGCGAAAGGCGGGGTACATCCTGGACAGGTCGCCAGTCCATCGCATAGACAGACAACCACTCACACTCACATCCACACCTAAGGACAATTTTGGAGACACCAATTAACCTAGCCTATGTCTTTGGAGGGTGGGAGGAAGCCGGAGCACCCAGAGGGAACCCACGCAGACACGGGGGAACATGCAAACTCCACACAGAAAGGCAGGGGCTACCGGGGTTTGAACCGTGCCACCCTCATGTCAAAGGCCATATTATACATTTCTATATCTGGAAGACCGAGTTGCCCACTGCCTACAGGCATACATATCTTAGTTTTATTTAGATGTATTGATCCCCCCCCCACCTTAACTGGGATATCAATGCCTCCTTACATGGGTTTGGAAATCCTTTATTACTACTGCTTCATTGTACGAATCAGTCAGCAAAATAGTTTCTTTAACTTGAATCCTTAATCCTTACTGATATCGGAGCCCAAATAAACAACACTCCTTCTGTTGTCATTTTTTGGAAGGACTGTATTACTAAAGAAACTCCAAAAAGAATTGAATCATTTCTTTTATTTATAATATGGTCTCTTCATTCCTGATCAGTGGTATATATCATCTGTTTTGTCATTTTCCAAGTTTGTAAAATGTGCTTCTCATTAAACACAATGCACATTTCAGCTTATTATAGAATTAGTTCATGTAGTTGATTTCTTTTAATGACAGTGTTTTTGTTTAATTTGACGTAACTGCAGTGGGTTTCGTCCATGTTATTGGTTTTGCCAGTTTTATCGAGCTTAGGTTATTATACTTTATACTGTGTGTGTGTGTGTGTGTGTGTGTGTGTCAGTGGTTTCCTGCAGGCCCACAGTGAAAGTGTTGTCTCCAGAGGACGGGAAGCAAAGCATTGTCCAGGCAGCGCAGCAGCTCTGTCGCTCTGTGGAGAACAAAGAGAGGAGCTCCAGAGACATCAGCGTCTCCATGCTAGATGTCCTGCTCAGAGGTACCGCTTCATCCTAACATGTCTCTGTTTGGGATGCAGTATGTGTTGGGATCAATCAGGTCTACTATGTCTCAGCTTTATGGTTTCTGTACACTGTTAATATGGTCTTACTGCAACACGTTACTCTCAAAACAAGAATTGGATCCTGTGCTAGTGAAAATCTTAAACACATCTGTGGAGAACACAAGGCATGCAGCACTGCATCACAGCTGCTGGAATACTGGAAAACTAAACAACAGAAACACTTGAGTGTAAATAACAGGTGACATTAGAATATCATTATCAACACAGGGCTCCAGACTAAGTTTTTGGTAACCATTGCTTGTATACCATTGCGCGTAAATGTTTAATTTAGGTGCACTGCCACAAAATCTAGGGACACACGATGAGGAGGTTTAAGTTGAATGATAAAGCATTATTAAGAGTGAGCAGTGATAAAATTTAAGTTGAATAATTAAAAGTTTTTATAAAAGTTGTTGTAAGTTTATAAAACAATTTACTGTTATGTTTCAAGTACATTTAATAGCAATAATATAATTTTGCTTCAAATTTCACTCTGGCCTCTTCTTTAAGTTTGGATTTGACATAATACCTTATTATCTCAAATAAAAGGACAGAAACAAGTGTATATGTAACTGTCAAGTCAAACTAGAATTGAAATGTAGCGGGTCTTGGGGGTAGACAAAATAAATAAAAATTAAATAAAGTAATAAGCGGCCACTGACGGACTGACTGCAGAGAGGAGATCAAACGGAACCAACCAATGCTGATGGCTACACGGAGCGTTTAAAAAGACGCACGGCATTGTCACTTTCCGGGATAGAGCATGGATCATACAAACAAATACCGCGGAAGAGCAAGACTGCGGCGTGATCTATATGCTGTTGCTTAAATGAGCTGAATGTATTGATGTATGTGTAGTTGATCTGAGGTTGCTTAATGTACTTTAAGGTGAAATAAGTATGCATTTCTTTTTGGGTTTATTTAAAGGTTTTTCACCTAATGGCGTATAATTGACGATGAATTGCACTGATGGGAACTCAAGAAAAAAAAAGAACTAAATCTGCAAGAATAAAAAAGGAGAAAAAAAAGAAACAGCTGTTTAGTCATTGAGTGGAATCCAGTTAAAAACATCTTCGAGTGGACATATTCTCTTTCAAGTGGGGAAACTGCACATATTTAAACGGATAACTTGACAGTAACACAAAAGGCAATTTATTATTTTGGCCGGTAAAAAATATGTTTGGCCGGTGGATTTTTTTCATCTACCAGCCACCTTGGCAGGTGAGCCAAAAAGTTAATTTCCACAGCAACTTGCTTTTTTAATGTGGCCACCCACATTTTTGTCTACAGTGTGAAACAACACATCTTTGGACAGTCATTTCAAATGGCAGTTTCTTCTATAATTACAAATTCATTAATAACAAAGTACTGTCACCTTAAAATAGTGTGTAGTTCCCCAGGGAGGTCTCCATAGTTCTCTCTGTCACAGTAAATGGATTCCTGGCATCAGCAGATCTTGTTTCAAGAAAAAGTCGCTTTCTCATGCTGTCACGTCACTCTGCAGTGTGTGATAGCATCTGCATTAGACAAATGTTGCGCCTGGCAGACAGAATAGCAACATTTATTCTCTGCATTGTGAAGAGCTTTTATATACAGTTGACATGACACACAGACACAATGGCACAGAGGCCATTGTGCTCTCTGCCCTCTGCCTGTGCCGTTCCTTCCAGGCGTAACAGTTAGGTGTGGTGTGGTGGAGCTCTTTGCCCGAGAGTCAGACCAAAGAAAAGGCTTCACATATTCATATTCGCATTCACATATCCTGTTCCATCACTTCTGCTGATGACCTGCTGCCTGTCTGTGCTTGTTTCAGAGTCAAAGAACATTCCAGACCCTGAGCTGGTGGTGAAGTTTGGTCCTGTGGACAGCACATTAGGCTTCCTGCCCTGGCACATCAGACTCACTGAATTCATGTAAGCTACTGCCTGCCGTTGGTGTTTGTGTTCAGACTTGTCAGTTAAATATATCAGTGACTTGGACACAAATAATTGTAATTTAGACCTGATTCTGAATACACAAGCAGAAGATTCAGGCTTCATTATCAAACTACTCTGCCATTGTGAATATTACAAAAAAGCAGTAGATGGCACTGTATTTTTCTGTGTTTGTCCTCAGCTCCCTACCCTCCCACAGAAACATCTCCTACGAGGACGTGTTAGGTGCCCTGCAGCAGTACGGCGCCTGTCAGCAGCGGCTTGGCCAGTGATGTGCAGACCACCCTCAGGTTCTTCAGACACAAAAAGGAGAGTTCGGACAGGTGGTGAGCCCTCACTACTCCTCTCCCCAACTCTGCCCATCTCCTGCATCTGTATCAGCCTAAGACTCAAGCTTGAAGACATGGAAACAAGTAGACATAGCCAGCCAGCTCACTTCCTGCTACCAGCTCTCGTCCTATAATAAACTCACATTCCAGGACATCTGGAAAAGGCTCTCCAAGCCATTAGAGACACAAGAAGACTGTCTGCACAGACTCTGCGTTCCACAAACCCTGTTCTGTCCTCTCAGACCCTCTGGCTCACTGTTTATCATTCAGGCTCCAGCTGCTGTTTACTGCTGGAGACTTAGAAAATGACTAGCCTTCACGCAGCGCATAACAAAGAAGAAACGCGGCTTTGTCCCCATCTTCTACAGGCATCCTGGGAAAGACAGCTGCATTTTAGAGAGCAGCTGAACTACCAACAACACGAGTTTGGGCTTTGGGACAGAGTGCTTAATAATGTGTAAATATGAGAAATTCATGTGGCTCTGTGTTTATCCCTGTGGCCCCCAGCTTGCAGTCATGTGTTCATGGTTTGTTTGTGACTCCTGTTAGACTGACCAAGCTCTGAAATAAAGACCTGCACTGTCTGTCCTTGTGTCTACTGACGGCATGTACAGAAGAGTTCCTCATATGTCACTAAAGAACATTAACTAATTCTGACCTTCCTTAACAGAGCTAGCAGTTATCATATAACTAAAGTTCCATGCTGGAGCTTTCTGAGAAGTGACCGTGAGATGATGGGCTTTTCTGATTTCCCAAATGTGTGCCTCATTGCCTTCTCGATCATCTAGCCTGTGACCCGGAAATCAATCTCAGAGCACCATCTTGAAGGAAATCTCAATTCCTAAAATCTGGAGGAGCTATAAGCGCTGACACACCAGTGTATCCTTTACACAAGTCATTTCAGCTGTGACGTTTAAAAGAGGCGTGACTACAGTGTTCCTGTTGTATTCATAAGTTGTATTAGTTATTTAAAATGATCAAATACAAATCGATAAAACTTTCTGCCCTTCACCGTCAGTGTAGCGCCTCATAAAACGCTGTTCTAACCGCATTCCTTGATGTCATTTAACTTTGATATCACTGATGTTATTGTTGAATGTGATGTGTGGATGGGCAGCGCGATCGCAAAATGAACACTGAATAGCAGCTGGCTGGGTGAAGGTCCTCTCCAGAGACACTGCGCATTTACACACAAGCCACAGCAACATATATTAATATTTAAATCTCCCGACACACTGACGGGATCAGTCGAGCTCTAATTTTAAATAATGTTCTGTGTTCCTCTACACATGCAAAAGCTCGCACACACAGTCCAGGTTCATACAGTAAAACTGTCTGGAGTAAAGCACCCCCCCCACCACCTCCTGATCAATCCTGAGCTCCATCAGAGCGTCTACACATTACAGAGGCTAAAAGTTTAATTATTTGTCTCTCTGTCTGTCCTATCAAGTTTATTACTGCATTTTTTTTAAAATTTTGTCCCACGAAATTTGCTGTGCCTTTACTGCACGGTTGGAAACGTTGATGACTGACAGCAGCCTCTCAACCGTCAAAGTAAATCGTCAAAGAAAACACAAACATCAATACAACAGAATAAAGAAATTCAATGGAAGGCCGGTGGAGGTGGGGTAAAATGCACATGCAGGTGCTGGTCTCTAAATCGGATAAAATAATTAGTTGGTGGTGGGGCGGGTTGATGATGTATGCTTACATGAGTATTCAGATAAGGTCAGAGCTGATCACACCAATTCACCTTCTATTATCGTGACCAACAGTGCAAACAGCTGTTGACGTCAAATTATTAGGCTTTAATATCAACCAGAGCAGTCAGCACTGATCTGCTGTGTTTCATATTATAATAATAGTGCCTATGTAGTCTGCACGTCATTCCAACTGTAGAGTCCTGCGATGACAGTTGGAATTAGGGCTATATGAGATAAATGTTACTGTGCCATTTCTTACAGGGACTGATGATGAAACGCTCCCCTAATCAGGCTGAGAGCTGAAATGATCCCCTGTTTACAGGCAAAAGGTGCAGCCTTTATGTATTAGTGCTGACAGCCGGTCTGCTCCTCTGACAGAGATCACAGCTCATACAGTGGACAGATGATGCAGCTGAGCAACATGTCATATTTAACTGTTACTTGAAAATGACAGCTCTGAGGAAAGGACATCTTATTTCATTAAACGGCTGTTTCCTCAACGTCTCTCTCTTGCTCTTGGGTGGGAGGGACTAAGACGCAAGGCGAGGAGGCACAAATTTGGGAAATGAGAAAGGCCTGATGTCTGAATGATGAAACTCCACAGAAAGCCAATAAGTGGACTTTGAGTTTAGACTATTTTGTCAAGCTACGATTTGAACAATCTTTCATACTCAACTTGTGTCTTACTTTCATAGATTTGACAGACAGTAAAAATAACTTTATACTCACCATGTAAATATTTGACATCCCTAAAAACAAGGTTGGACAATAAGACAGGCTGGACAAACCAAAGGAAAGTGATTACCACACAGTTTTAAAGGCCCACTTCCTGCTCAACTTAACCTACTGCTTGTGTTCCGTGCCTCGTCTAACTTGGGCCACAAAATGTTTTTATAGTAGAGATAGATAGTAATGAGGTCTTATTGTACCAGGAGGTAGTGCCTCCAAAACACAATACAGTGCACCTCCATCAGTGTCTCATGGTGATAGCTCAGTCTTGACAGATCTGTTACAGATTCTTTCTATTTTCACTAACCTTTCTTTTGTTGTTGTGAAACATGGCTCCTCCTCTAGAAATCAGAAATACTTCAAGTGAAGCAAAGAAAAATCCCTCTTGTTTAAACTGAGGCCACAATCTGTGACGAGGGGTCACAAGCCAAAAGGGTTTGGAAAGAAGAACAATGTATTTGTGAGATCATAAATAGATGAAGGTGACACTGTGCTTCTGCCAAGTCACCCAAAACAGTGACTGCGATTTGGTGAGGCGTGACTGTGCTTGAACATGGCAGGAGGATGTTCCAAAGCAACAAATCCTTAGCTGTTTCCCAAATCCATGTCCTGCAGACTCTTTTTAAATGGGATGAGTCTGTTCACACAGGGAAAGCAATGAAATCCTCAGATCTGACCCGGGGGAGAGGAGGAGCTGCTTTGGAACATCACAGAAACGCATCTCAGCCCAGACACGGTCGTTCATACTGGGCAGGTGTGCACACACCAAGAGTTTAATAAAGGCCCCAAATGGAACCTAGAGGCTGTTATTCAGTCTGTCATTTCTCTCTGTTTGGCTTGTTGTTTGCTGTCTTGATGTTTGGAAGGCAGACTGATGCTTGCTTGGATGAGGAGTTAAACAACATCTTTACAGGTCATTAAATGTAAGTTGCTCAATAAATACCTTTTGGAAAAAAGACTTAAGGGTGGGGTGTAGAAGGAATTTGGACTCATACAATTCAGCTCTGGCCCTTGTTTTATACCGAAGTACTAGTTCCAGGTTTAAATCAAGGGCGCTGACATCATTCAGATGTAGTTCTTTAGTGCAGGAGGGCAAATGACGTGTTCCTGATGTAGTCCGCCCTCAGCCCATGAGGACGTCTGGCCCTGGCCACAGTGACACCTGGTGGTACGAGCAGCATCTCCGCGGTAAATGACGGGCCTGGTTCTGGATCCTGAGTGGTTCATTAGGGGAGGGCAACACCGCTGCTGCGCACTGTTTCCTCTGAACTGCACTGCTGCCTGCGACACGGAGCCCAGGAGGGTCCACTGCTTCTCCTCCGAGGTGAAACCGTTCCCTTCCTTTCCCGCCCCCTCCGGTCCTCCTCGGAGCGGAATGCGCTGATCTCCGCTTCATCTGTGGAAGGATGATTTCTGTGGTATCCACTGTGGAGAGCGTCCCAAGAGGCACGGGCACCCCGGCGCCGAGTCTGTACCAGCGGATCAGGAAGGTCTTAACTAGGTAAGATCCCGATGAGCAGCCCCTGTACCTTCACTCAGCTCAGTCAGACCGGCAGCAGCTCGGGCCGGGGCTCGGTTTCCTTTTGTTTCATGCATTACCTGTAACATCAACCCTGTCCCCTCCGGTCTGCTGCTGCAGGACGCCTGTTGTGCAACAGATGTCAACATACAGCACGTACATATCATCACGTGTGTGAGGGGGGGGGCATTCCTGTGGTATTGGAGCCGAGTCCAGGCACGGGGTGCTGGTTCGGTGCCTGCTTGCTCAGGAGGAGGCTGCCATGGTGGCTTCATCAGTCTGTACCGAGGCTGTGCTGCGCAATGGCTGCTGTCCATCTCCAGCTATCTACCTCACTTTGTATTTATCATGCACTCAGACACACACACACCGTACCCCCTACTACTTCCTGCCATCTGCCGCTTCTTCATCCCTGGCCTCTCTTACGATTATGGAGCCTGGGGAAGTTGGCAGTGTGTGAGTGAGAGAGAGAGTATCGTTACTGCCACAGACACAATGTCATATTACTGTAAAGGTGGGCAGACAGAACAAAGCAGGCTCACAAACACGCAAAGACACATCAGGCATGACAGCAGATGTTGACAGCTTTATTAGGTACAACTGTACACTTGCTGTTAATGCAAATATATAATCAGCCAGTCAGGTGGCAGAAACTCGATGCATAAAAGCATGCAGACGTGGTCAAGAGGTTCAGTTGTTCAGAGCAAAGAAAACAAAAAATTCAGCTGGCCGGTGACAATTCATAAATATAAAAATATACCAGAATATAATGCAATAATCAGCTGCTTTTTCTTTTTACCTAGTTACTTTTTTTGGACAATGCACATTTGTTTCTTCTATATTAAAATTATATTGCATGTTTTGTTATTGTACAAATAAACCTTTCTCAAAGCATTTTTATTTGTTAGTTTATTTGTTGATTTGTTTATTTGGTGCAGGCTGTTTTTCACAACATATTTAAAAAGTGCTTCAAAAAGTGACAGGGACAAAATCAGCCATTTCAAAATTGTTGGCTGCTCTGACAAATCAAAGGGCTTACATGTACTCCAATGGCCTCCACAGTCCTTTGGGCTTGGAGATTCTCTCACACCTCTGCAGACACTGAATGAGGTCATGTCAACAAATATGTAAGCAATGTTTCCAGGTAAAAAGCCACCATATATGAGCTACTTACGACACTGTTAGCTAAAGAGCCAGATATCTGTGGGAGAGATGACAGACAGCTAGTCACAAACACAACTCCACATGAGCAATCATGTTGGTCTTTAAATTTCACCACATCAACTTAAAAGGTGATGATGTCAGTGTTGTTGTCACAACTTGTTTCTGCTGCCCCCAAGTTGCCAAAAAAATCAGGCTTGTGACTTTGTGTTAATCACAAAGCTTGATCTGTATTGCTGACGTGCTGCTGATCGAATACTGAGACTATTACACTGATGACCTTTTGTCTCTGCAGGGATCTGTTGGTGACCCTGGCCCTGGGTCAGGTCCTGTCCTTGTTAATCTGTGCTATCGGTCTGACCAGCAAGTACCTGGCTGATGACTTCCACGCTAACACACCAGTGTTCCAGAGCTTTCTCAACTACATCCTGCTGTTTCTGGTCTACACCACCACACTGGCAGTCAGGCAAGGTACAGACAGAAACTGAGGCGTGTGTGTGTGCGCACGCGCATCACAAAATTTGGTTTTTGATCTTTTACATCAGAGTCAGAACCAATAAACATGCTTTTTATTATTAAAGGCAGTGTGATTTATGAAGTAAAGACTTCTTTATTAGGCTAATCCTGAATAAATCTTTCTTTGCAGCCAAATGATTAGCCAAACAGTAATCCTTTATTTTATTTAATGTATTTCTGTTAAATGGTATGCATGTTCAAGACTACAAGACTAAATTGCAAATAACAGGCATGTTTATTATGTGAACAAAACAAATTGTATAGTATGCACTAAGAGGAGTGTTCATGTACCCATAAGGATCCATTTCTTTTGATATTGATCCTATTCACACTAGTTTAGTCCACATCTAGCTGAAACACTTCATACACCTGTGTGCTCTACCTTGTCCCTGTTGCCATTGGCCTTTTAAAAAACTCAATGTGATTTTTAAATTGTCATTATTGTGTATTGTCTGTCTGATGTTTGTGTAGTGACTCCTGGCTGTACAACAAATTGCCCCTTGACGATAATAAAGATCTTATTGACCCTTTCCATTTTACTGACCATCTGTATATATACATGTAGAGTACTGATTTATAACGTAACCTTATGTAAATTGTAGCACTTAAATAATTTAATATTACCACATGAAAATACTGGCCTCAGACCTGAATCAACTTGTGTCCTCCCACAGGTGAAGAACATTTTAACCGTGCAGCAGAGAATACTGTAGGGAGTGATCCACACTGGTGCAACATTGCACTTGTGTGAATGGTATTCGTGACATTAGTACCATAGTTGCACTTGTGTGTGTTATGTAAGGATATAGGATAATATATGTACATTCTCTCTTATCAATACAATGCAGCCTTTAACTTACACAACATGTTGTGTTAGTTAAAGGCTGCGTAAAGTGTAAAGGCATGGTAAGTTTTATTGTCACATCAAACATAAAAGCAACATAGGGCAATATAAAAACACATTTAAATAAAATTAAATAGTTTAGAAAAATCAGGGGTAAAAGTATAAACAAGATAAAACATGACATTGTAGATATTAATCAAAAGTCTCAAATTTGATTTAACAAAAGGCAAACTCTTTTTGACTCAGACAGAAAGCAGACTTGTCCCACACCACCTGAGAAGTCTGGATATTTCATAACATAGCAAAAGTTCACAAATGGCAATAAACCATTCAGTGCTTTGTAAACCAGCAGTGGTATTTTAAAATCAGTTTTCTGACAGACAGGAAACCAGTGTACAGACTCAACACTTGAGTGTTATGATCCACTTTGTTGGTCTTTAGTGAGGACTCAATTATTTCTCTACAGAGGTACTCTAAATAAATGAAGGAAAAGAGATTAGTTTCCTGGTCACACTTTCAAAAGAAATTCTCAACACACCATGACAATGTAGCAGTAAATTACTCCATTAAAGTAGCCAAACAGAAATATACATCATACTAAAACCTTGTGCTGGTAAGATACAAAACATCCCCTTATACCTGAAGCCTAATCATTAGAAAAAAGCTTGAGGTCATCTGTCTGAGTGAAGACATTGCACTTTCATTGTTAGCAACCTTTTGCACCAATTCCCCCCCCACACACTAAGAGCGAGGAGCTTCGTTCCAGGGCCAGTTAATTGTTCTGTTAAAAGCACCTCCTACATGGAGGTAGGAAACAGGCTAGGGCTGAGGTTTCATTCTTCTGATATGGTCTCACTCAGACAGCAGGCTGTAATGGACTGGCTGGTGTTCACCACTTGCTGCACTGGTTCACAAGTGTTCATGTTGTTTTGATGTGGCAGCTGTGGATGAGCCCCAAATTAGGTGTGATGTGCATTTAGTGTGTTAATTATTATTCCCTCTCTCTCACCAGGGGAGGGGAACCTGCTGGCCATTCTGAAGCAGCGCTGGTGGAAATACATGATTCTGGGTTTAATAGACATTGAGGCCAACTATCTGATCCTTAAAGCCTACCAGTACACTACACTCTCCAGTGTACAGGTTAGTCCCACCAAGATGTCCTTGTTGTGGTTAGTACGACTCAGTCTCTGTCTTCTTCTCCTTGTGAAGCTTACTGTAAAACCTGTATCGTGTAGCATGCCTTCTCCACCCCAATGCGGAGTCACAGTCCAAAGTGGAGCCATGTTTCTCTTAGCTTAGCCAGATGGCTCATTTAGTTGCTGCAGATATTTGTGGACACTTCTTCCTTCCTGGATATTTGGGCCTAAACACAAAATAGACACACCTCTATGATCAGGATCCAGGTGTGCTTAGAGTCCCTTTGTACATTCCTCCATGGTGGTTAGGGTTTACAGGGATGGAAGGCCTAGCTGTTGCTGTGTAAACACAGGTCCCCAGTCTGATGCTTTGCACAGCTCATCATGTGTGCATATGTGGTTCTGTGCTTGTGTCCCTCCTCTCAGCTGTTGGACTGTTTTGCCATCCTGGTGGTCCTGCTGCTGTCCTGGTTCTTTCTCTTGGTGAGGTACAAGGTTGTCCACTTTGTTGGGGCAGGACTGTGTCTGCTGGGTATCGGTTGCATGGTGGGAGCTGACATCCTTCTTGGTCGTCAGCAAGGCCTTGGTGAGGACCCACACACACACACACTTATAGTACACAGCAGTCAGATCATCACAGACAGAGTTTTTGGTTGGACTGGAAAACAAATGTGGTATATGTACAGGGTTGGAGGATTACTTTAAAAATGTAATCCAGTGCAATTACAAATTACTTGTTAAAAAAATGTAATCAGTAACATAATCCAACCACAATATAAAAGTAATGTAATCTGATTAATACTTTTAATTACTTCAATACACAAATGAAGACAAGTGTATCAAAGACTTTATATTTGTAGCAAAACATACAATAAAATCTCCCATTCCCATAAAATCAAAATCCATGTTTGGTTTCTTTTTTACTACGGGGTGCACTCGCAGTCATTGGGGCAAAACAGATTTGGTAGCCAGTCGGAAGACTATTGTAATTGTGGCACAGCAGACCAGGAATGGAGGGAATTGAATGAAAGCCAACGCCACCTAGGGAATTGCACCCCAGGTAATACTATTTAACCCCTGATTAATTAAAGGAGAATAAAGAGAAAAATGCACACAGGAACGTTAGTGGTGAGGCAGAGATGGGATTCAAAATAAAGTTATTTTAATAAGCAAAAAAACAATTGGGGACTGGAATTGCTGAAAGGGAAAGAATGTGAACCAGCAATAAAAAAAATGGCTATATATATATTTTATATCTCCAGCGCCCCAAAATAACTGAACAAAACTAAGCAGGGGTCACTTGTGGAGAGGCAGACTACACTGAGGAGTGCCCAGGAGTGCTACCACTACCCACTTTAAGTGCAGCACTACAAACCTCACAGCATTATTCACAGCAAAAGTGGTGCAGTCCATATAGTGCCCCCAAGCAATTACTCCCAACAAGATGGCACCCTGCTCAAAATATAAACTGAATACAAAAGAAACCATAAAGTAACAAACCAACCAAGTACCAAGTTCACTGAACAAGGGAAAACTTTAACTATTAAACTAGAGCAAAACTAATAAACTAAAAGGGCAAAACTGGAAGCTAAATGAGGCGAAACAGCAAAGTATGTAGGCAAAACAGTAGTGGTCTAAAACAAGGAGGAACCTGGAAAAGGAAGGGAAAAAATAAGCCAGGCTCAACCTTACTGCATTAAAATAGATTTAAAACCATATATCTACTCACCACCTCTGAGATGGGTCATGAAGATACATCAATGGTCACAGGGCAGGAGAAAATGAGGTTCCTAACAGTGTCAAAGTGCAGGTAAGCAACATAAACTGTTAAGGGAAAATAGATATCCATGGAACTATTCCTTTCACATACCTGGGCCATAAACACCAACCACAACCACAGAAGGGACAGATCAGGAAGCAGAGAGGGCGCAAGGGGACACGTGTCTTATATAGCCTAAGCCTAATAAGGAGGTTGGCCAGGGGAGGAGTTAAGTCGAGGCTGCATTCACACCACCACACCTTAACTTGCATTTGAGGAATCTTTCCCCACCACACAATCAACGTAGATTTTGCATTGTTTGCAGGTCAGGTCAGGTCAGCGGCACCAGACCTTATGTTGTTCAAGTCAGCTGTTAGCCAAAAAGCTAACGGAACAATGGAGAACGATGGGGAGAGGTGTTCTTTCCACAGCTGTAAATATTGGGCCTTTCTCATTTCCCAAATCCTCGAGCCTGTGACCTGGAAATCCATCTCAACGCGCTATCTTGAAGGACCTCTCAGTTCCTTAATTCCTGCATTCCTTAATGTCATTTTACTTTGATATCACTCATGTTGTTATTGTTGTGATGTGGTGGATGGGCAGCTTTAATGCTTTTATTGTTTATTGCTACCTCGAGGTGTTTCTACATGTCTTTATGTTGACAGACATGTTTTTAGATTGTGAAGATCTGAGCCTTTATGTATTAGTGCTGACCGCTGGTCTGCTCTTCTGAAACAGTGGACAGATGATGCAGCTGTGTCATTTAATTGACGTCTCTTTAAAATGACCGCTCCGAGGCAAGGACATCTCATTTTGTTAAATGCCTGTTTCTTCGACTCCTCTCTCCTCATGTCTCCTCCTTGACTCCTCTAGCTCGCATCTTGGGTGACAGAGACTAAGACGCAATGCGAGGAGGCGAGGAGGCACAAATTTGGCAAATGAGAAAGGCTCATAGCCATTAGGCCTAGCTGTGTCACACTCATTGTCGTCCATTATAAACTTTGTGCGACCACCAAAAAGCTTTCAACCACGAACAATTCTACATCTAATTTATTGAAGCATCTGTTAAAGCAGCACAGCAATGTGAATACTGCTCTTATACATGTGCAAAACATGTAAATTCAACGAGGCAATCAGACCAAACACAAATTTAATCCACGCAATGCCTTCCTTGCTGGAGTTTTATTGCTGGACAACTGCTAAGTGTTCACACACAACACGATAACACAAATAAACACAACTCACCATTACTACAGCTGTATGAACACAAAGTAAACATTTTGCTGTGATTAAATAGTAATAAAGAGATTAAATTGATGCTGAAATAACTACAATATGATGCAGATTTGTTAAACATTTTCATGTTTTATCAGTCACTTCCTCACTTTCTTTTCTTCCAGTATAAATATGAAGTAGTCCAACAGAGCTAATGATGCTAACGACAAAACTGGAACCGGATGTGCACGGAGGTTAGCTGCTGAGAAACGAGTTAAGATAAATCAACGTTGTCATCCCAAAAACTAAAGTTAAAAGCTAATTTAATAAAAGCAGTTTATTCCAAGCTCCTCCCGCAAGCAAACAGCAAAGTTGTCAGACCATAATCCAGACTGACTACGTACGTACGGACAATCCGACTCAAGTGCGAATTATACTTCTGCGTCAAAAAGCCTCAAAGCCTCTGCGTAGCAATAGTATGAAGCTTCAGTACCGGAGGCTGCAGTTTCAGGACCCCCGCAATCCTGGGACCGTAGTTCTAGGACCCTAGTTCTTTTGCGAGAGCGCCATCTAGTGGCCTCACAGCCGACGTGAACCGGTTGACATGCATATAATCAATAACTTAGGTTTAGGCACACACTCGGTGGTGGTTGTGGTAAGGATAATTGGCTTTGGGGAGCTATAAAGAGTTACATACTAGCTAACTAGCTAGCCAGTCAGCTAGCTGGCAGTATCAAAGTAAACAAGGGTCCTGGAATTGCTGTTCCGGTCCTAGGATTGCAGTCCTGAAACTGCAGCCTCCGGTACTGCAGCTACATGCTACTGCTGTGTAGCCCCCTATCCTACGCCGACACCTACGGTGTAGCCTGACATGCACCTCCTCAAAAAGTTCACGTGGACCGTAAGCTCTGTGATTGGTCGGCTGGGTAGCCCCGCATTGAAGTAACTTTTACTAGCGGCCAAAACGGCGATTGTAACACGGTGGATCAATATATTTGACCGTCACAACCCGAACGAAATGACTCGTTTCACTATCAGAATGTGATCCATTCGGTCGATAACATATAGGATGCACCAGCCGCACGTATACAATTTTACCCCCATTCACGTTAGCGGAGGGCTAAACCGGAAGTTAGCCTGCTCGGCCGGCAAAACGTGCGTATGGATGCATGATGGTATGTAGGGCTTGGTTAGTGACCATCACTACTTTTACAGTACTTCTCAAAATGCATTCTGTGATACATTGAGTTGAATATATAGGGTATAATAATTTGCAGGTTATAATAATCACTATGGCTGTGTCCGAAATCCCCACTTATTCACTACCCCCTACCCCCTATGTAGGGAGTAGTATGTAGAGTCTATATAGTACTTTCGGACACTACTCCGATCGTTATTTCGGCGCAGTTAATTATGTCATTGCCATCGGACAGTCTGTTTTTTTTCTATCAGCGCAGTGCATGATGGTATATATGGCTGTACACTACTTTTCAAAATGCATTCTGGGATACATTGAGTGGACTATATAGGGTATAATAACTCTCACTATACATTGGGACAGCACTACAAAATGGCGAGCTCACTATATAGTCCACTATATAGTGAGTAGTGGGTGATTTCGGACACAGCTGTTATTTTCCACTGCCTGCCAACCAGTGTTTGGCAACTTACTTCCAAAATGTAATACATTATACAGTAGATTACTAGTTACTGTCATTTGAAAGTAATTAGTTATATTACAATATTACTGTCTCTGAATTGTAATGCTTTACACTACTTTCGCGTTACTTTTGAGTTACTTTGTGTGTGGGGTGAAATAGAGTGAACTGTTTCCCCATTAAGAAAGACGCTGTGCACATTTACGCACGAGGTACAGCAGCATTACGTCATTGATTATTTGAATATTACCAAATTTTATTTAGTAATGCGTTATATTACTGCATTACAGCAAAAAGCAATACATTACTGTAATTGCGTTACTTTTGTAACGCATTACTCCCAACGCTGCTGCCAACCAGGAAGCACCGGTTGTTGAGGTTGTTGCCAACCAGTGTTTGGCAACTTACTTCCAAAATGTAATACATTATACAGTAGATTACTAGTTACTGTCATTTGAAAGTAATTAGTTATATTACAATATTACTGTCTCTGAATTGTAATGCTTTACACTACTTTCGCGTTACTTTTGAGTTACTTCGTGTGTGGGGTGAAATAGAGTGAACTGTTTCCCCATTAAGAAAAACGCTGTGCACATTTACGCACGAGGTACAGCTCATGCTCATGTTTCAGTTCTCCCTCATCTGTCTAGGAGAGCAGAAGTTGTTTGGGGATCTTCTGGTTCTGGGAGGAGCAACACTGTATGGGATCTCCAACGTCTGTGAGGAGTTCATTGTGAAGAACCTGAGCCGTGTGGAGTTCCTCGGCATGATGGGACTTTTCGGATCCTTCTTCAGTGGCATTCAGCTGTGAGTTTTTTATGCTGCTTTATAATTCTACTGAACTGCATCTCATAAGGAAATATTGGACTTTTTACTGCACTATATTTTTTTCATATTTTCATTATTTTTATAACAGCTTTATTTACTAGTTTCGTTGAGAAACATGAAGCCTTAACATACTGTGTATCAAACTACCCAACTGTATATGAATACAGTCATTAGCTCCACATTGACACTGAGATTTGGACTTTGGACTGAGATTTCCAAATTATTCACACAAAGACCTCATTGGTGGTGCACTGCTGTAATTACCAATTCAGATTTATTTACACAGTCCCCCTCCAAAGGTATTGGAGTTCCTTTCTTTCTCCACACTTTGGCCTGATTAATCTTGGTCTCATCAGTCCATAAGATTGTGTTCCAGAACTTTTGCAGCTCATCTCTGTACTTATTTGCAAATTTCAATCTGGCCTTCCGATTCTTACTGCTGATGAGTGGTTTGCATCTTGTGGTGTGCCTCTATATTTCAGCTCTCTGAGTCTTCTTCCAACAGTGGATTGTGATACCTTCACCCCTGCACTGTGGAGGTCGTTGGTGGTGTCACTTACTGATGTTTTGGGGATTTTCTTCACAGCTCTCACGATATTTCTGTCATCAACTACTGTTGTTTTCCATGCCCGACCTGTTTGACGTCGGTTGCTCAGTACACCAGTAGTTTCTTTCTTTTTCAGGACATTCCAAATTGTTATGCTTGCTATGCCCAATGTTTGTCCAATGGCTCTGGTCAATTTTCAATTTTGACAATGGCTTGCTTTTCTCCTACAGACAGCTCTCTGGTCTTCATGTTGGTTTATCCTCTTTAACAGGAAATGCAGTCTTTATAGGTTTGAACCAAGGATGAAAACTTAGACTAGTCATGCAGAGCTATTTAATGTTTGGACAATCAACCTAAAAGGCAACACCTGGGCAATCACATCGTGTGTAACATTAGCATTATAGTTATAACTTTAGCTGTGTTAACAACTCCACACTTGAACAGTCTGTGAAGTTACATTGCATAGCATACTTACAGGTTGTGATTGTGAATTTCCAGGCCCAAACAGAGTCGGAGTTGCATCGTTTTTCAGGACTAAACGTTGAACTGTTGCCGGACAATCTATGCTGCCTTGACAAAAAATGCTACCATAGCGTAAATCGATAAACTCGACTCTACTCGGCCCTGCTCCGTTTTCCATTGCAGATAGTACCCAGAGATAGTATGTAGCTTGTCGTCAAAGCGATTCCACACACAACTGCTGCAACATAATGTTCAATGCGACACACACACCAGCGATCCACACAGCTTTCTCTTTTTTAAGTTAATACGTTTCAAGATTCCTCAGAATGTAAAGACAGATAAGCAGTACGAAAACCTTCCAGCTGTGTTTTCCTCTGCCGTTCTTGCTGCTGCTCTTGTCTGTGTGATGGTGGGAGCAGAGGGCTCTGTGAGTGGGCGGCTGGCTGGTCTCACACGCTCCTCCCGCGGGTTGGCACCAAGCGGCAAGCTCCGGCTCTCACTTCCGATACCAATACGGAAGCATCTGAAACTGCAATTCATCAAGTGGCCACTTGAGAGTGGCTGCAGAAGGGTTTTGTTTAGATGATTATGCAGAAATTTTAACACAATATCAAGCACCTCTACAGTGCTGTTCAGCTGTAATTTGTGGTCAGGTGACCATTTTTGACAATGCCCCTTGTGAATCCAACAATGAACTAATGCGCATTTGCGAATTACTCTGATGCCAGACTGCACAAAGGCAGCATATAAATAGAAAACAGAATCAGATCAAGAAGCAAACTTTAAGGCACTCCACAGCACAAACTAGAAATGGCAGATCTGAGTCACCAGTATCTATAAGCTCCTATCTAACAGCTCCATTGACCCCCATGTTAAAATGCCCAACTTTACAGCAGAATAAAACATGTTTACAAATGGTTTTAGTACATATCGCTAATTTTGCCCTTCATGACAACTGTGAGGGGGGTGAATATTTTTATAACTTACCTGTTTAAATTATATTAAGCCTTTAAGTTCTGCATTATTAGGGGCGTAGCCGCTTTGATTCACAGGGACCTTTAGCCGCTGCCACTCCTAGCACTTGGTCGGCCGTCTGTTAGCCTCACTCAGCTACACGGAGCTCTGAGACTCAGCCTGTCGGAGCCTTTTGGACATTTTTACATGCAGATACCAGATGAATAATGGCAGGCTGTGCAGCTCCTTGGAGAGAGACCCTCCAGGAAATCCGTGTTCTACTTGGTGAGTGAAATTCCTGTATTTTATTTATGTGTTAACATTTAACAGGTTTCACTGTCGGCATATAGCTTGTTAGCTTAACGTTAGCTTGTAACGCTAATTAGCCAGATACGAGCCGACCCAAGCTGCTAAGTTAGTGTAAGTAAGTAAGTTAGTGTGTTCTAACCGCAGCTTTTAATGAGTCAAAGACAAGTCAGCAAGAAGGGAGAAGCCAAAATGTAACGTTATTAGATTAACCTTAGTGTTAGACATTAGTGTGCTAAGTTAATGCTTTGAAGAAAAGGCGTCTGTGTGAAGTTGTAAGTAAAGTCTGAGCTTTCAGTTAGCTGACATTATGTTAACAGTAAATTTTTCTAACGTGCAATGTGAGATTTAGCTACGTCCTGTAACAGAATCACTGTTCAATTAGATACTAGTCAGATACTATTATAAGTGGCTGCACCTGATCACGATGGACAAGGAGGGTTTAAAGGTAGAGAGCCGAGGGGGGAGCAACTGCTGAGTTCTGCCTGAAACTGTCACACCGAGGAGCACCGATGCCACTATTTGAGCTAGCTGTCTCTCCCGAGGAGAGCCGTGCACCTCCAAGTACAATGTTACTGTTTAAAAACGATAACGTTATACTATTCTTTGTGGGGTTCATCTGTGGGGATGATTGATTCGAAGTACATATTAAAGGCAGTTTAGAGTCATCAATAAGTTAATACACTTAGCAGATGTAGCATTCCTTGAGATTCAGCAAGCAATCTGAGGTGATAACTGAGTTTAATCATCGACGTTTCTGATAAGGAGCTTAAGAGGTGGATGCATAATTCGGCAGAACAGCTGTTGTAGGCTAGGTGCAGAGATTTGCATCATTGCACATATTAGTGAACGGTATATTTCACATTGCCACCCCTAATTACTGTCAGATGCCAGAGAGGTTATCATGCTGAGGCGATCTCAGAGTTCAGTAGCTTTATGGCACTTTGGAAGAAGCTGCTTAACTGTCTACCCATTGTTGTCTTTACAGGTGCCAGAGGAGCTGATTGCAGAACCCTCCAGATGTGATTAGCTGTGTCCAGCTCTTCAGGAGAGAACAGCTCCAGCTTCCAGCTCTTCAGCTCTTGCTTTTCTTTTTACTCACAACACCTGAACACTACTGATGTGAAATTATGACACTGGGTTCTTATCAACATATTCTATCATTATAATAACGCAACACATTTCAAGTCATACAAAACTACTTTTACATTTGTAACCTTTTAATATTGATGTTTTCATGAATGCAAGACAAGAGTTTAATTTATTAAACTATTGCTTTTGTATTAGGAATACTTTGTTATAAAGTGTATCAAACTAATTATACATAAAATCATTCTTCATTCATCATCAGTTTCATATTTTAATTTTAAATAGTGTGATCTAAACTTAACAATATTATAGTTAAAAGCTGTAAATGAAAATATTAAGATGTTATTTATATACTGTAACATTTTACATATGTTAGTAGAAAGTAAAAAATGAAAGGTTGATGTTATATACTGTTTTATTTTGACATTTCTTTGAGACAAATGTGACATTGACTGAGAAGTTACTCTGTTGTGGAAAAACAGAAATATCTGCACACTGAATAGTTTTGAAGCCCTGTAGGAGGTGTAATTTACTGCAACCTCTGAGAAGGTCTTGTGTGGTTTACATTGTATAGACTCACCTATTTACTACATGTGCATTCAATCAGCTCTGAGACCTCAGAGTTTGCAAGGTCACAATAAAAACTACCTAGTGGGATTCATAATTACTCTGTGCAGATCATTCTTTGTTTCAGCACTTACCCACAGGATGGTTTGGATGTGCCCACATTATTCTGTGTTTAAACTAGACTTATATCAGAGCAGCAAACAAGGCACTCTTCAGAAACTTCAGGCTCTGTTACTGGGTGTATGGGTAGTTATTTATCTTAAAGTACAAGGTAGAAAGTAAAAATACTCCTGCACACACAGAAATACACTACATAATTACTTTTCAACATTTCATGTGAAACATGTTTGGGAGTATTTTCACTTTTTAACTTATACTAGACTGATGTTCTTTAGCAAGAGTTCAGTTTTAATGTTTCATGTTTTATCTGTGGTATACGATTAGCTTTTCAGTAAGTAGTAAAGACAGGGAGTGCTAATATATATAGAATTTATTACAAGTGAACCATAAACCGTATCTTTTTTTAAATTGATCTATAACACAAATATGGACAATATTTAAAAGTCAAAGTAAACAGAAGGAGAGAAGGCCTTTCCACGTCAATCCACCCCATCAGCACAATGAGGACTCCAGGTCTCTGCAGCTCTCTGGCACCAGGTGGGACATCTGATCCACAGTGTGACTCTGGGAGGAAAATGAGTAATAAATTCTACAGGTGATAAAACATATAAAGTTACAGATGATTCTTTAATAAATAGAATATTGTGCTAAGTTAATTTTCTAACGTCATTTAATTCAAAAATTTAATCTTTGATATATTCTAGATTCATTACACAAAGCAAAGCATTTCAGACCCTTTTTGCCTTCATCTTGATGATTACGGTTTACAGCTCATGGAAATAAAAACTCCACTATTTTAAAATGTATAAACATTTTAGAATAAAATACATTTCTGTATTATAAATTATAAAGAAATGTCAACTGGAGAAGAGCTCTCTAATCAGCTAATTAACTCAAAACACCTGCAAAGGTTTCTGAACCCTTTAATCTCTCA